GGACTTGTTTGCCATCTCTTCCTGAGGAAATGCTTTTTTAAATGCTACCAGGTGGCAGGAGTGTTTATGAAAACACAAAACCACAGGTTCAGGGTGGAGGTGGCCTAGGCTAGCAGGCTTGGCTTCCCTGGGTTGCCTTAACCAGTATCTGGTTGCTGTTGAGTGGATTCTGGCTCATGGAACTCCTGAGCTCCACCAGCTTATCAGTGGCTGCATTTTGGGGCTAGATCACCAGGCCTTAATTCGGAGGCATGGCTGGGTAGACATGAACAGCCAGCCTTTCTGTAGTTGCTGAGCACGTAACCATTTGTGCCACCTAGGGCCTCAGGGGACCTTCACAGGCCATCCCTCCTCGGTGGGGATGTGTTTTGAGTGGTTAGTGGGACAGGGTTTGGGATGATTGCACAGAAGGGCTCATTGAAATTACGCTTCCGGCTCACTAGGGGGCGGTATTGTGTCGTCCACAAGCCAGGCGCCTTCTGGGGAACTGTTCATTTCTTGTTGAAAGTGAAATTGAAACCACAGTGATTCACCGAAGGCAGCACCAAATCTTGGGGAGATTCTTAGGGGGAATCCCTTTCTGAGCCTTCATCTGTTTTATTTTGTTTTAACCAGGAAGAGAGGGACATGTGGTGCGAGGACCCTCCCCAGGCTGTGATCTACTGTTTGCACATGGTTTCCTGTGTTCAACTGGAAACCCTGATAAAGGCAGTGACGAAGGTCTCTGTGCTGAACGGCTTTAGACCTTTCCTTTGAGCTGGCATGAGGCCCCGCCAGTTGATGCTTGTCTTTGGACCACTGGGTTTGTGACATCTGCCTAGTTGGCTCAGCAACCCCTTTTCCATTACTTCAGAGCCCTTGTAAGCAGGTTGCTACTTTCCATGACTGAGGCGTGTGGCTGTGAGGTGAAACAGGTTTCCACAAAGCTTCCCAACTCAGAGACTAGGAAGAAAGTCCTGGTGATCTACTTCAAGAGCATTCTGTCTGACCCGCTGCAGAGTGTGTATGTGTGTCCGTCATCACACGTCCTATAATGGCATTCTGTGTGGTAACACTGGTTGTTGGTGGTGATAGCCAGTGAGTTGGTTCCGCACTAGAACTGCCAACCCATCGGGGTTCCCAAGGCTGTTATCTTGGCAGCCGCAGACCCCCAGATCTTTCCTGGTACCTTGCTCCCGGAGAGGCTGCACTGGGGACCAGGCAGTCTGGGACAACCTCAGGGAATGGCATAGGCTCGTGGCGAGTTCACTTCTTCATCCCTACTGCCCAGGTCCCAGTGGGGAGCAAGGGTCCACTCCTTTCCAGCTGTGCCCCCTGACACCTCCGACTGGGGCAGGGACCCTCGTGAGCATGGAGAGACTGCATACAGAAGAAAGCGTCTCATTAGTAATTCCTAATGAATTCATAATGGCGGAGTGACGCAGTAGCTATTAACAGTGGCCTCAAACATGGCAGTGATTGTGACGATGGGGCACAAGGTCACTTCCAGTCACTGAAACAACAACACGAGTTGTCAGTCGTATCTTGGCCATACTGAGTTAAATAAAATGCATTTCATAAGTACTGGACCGTGAACCACAAGGTTGCTGGTTCAAGCCTACCAGCCATTCTGCACGAGAAGGCTTTTTGTTCCCACAAAGATTTACTACCTCAGCAACCCTCTACGGTGAGCCTGAACCAACTCGACAGCACTCAGCATTCATTTCAGTAATGACTGACGTACATGGCCTTCAGGGACATTTGAGAAGCTCTGAAGTCAGGGTTCTCAGCTAGGATGAGTCCATCTGCTTCAGTCTCTGCACACACGTGGTTACTTCTTTCACTAGTCCCTTCGTTTTCTGCAGCCTGTCCGAGTTTCCCCTGATTTATCAAAGGAATGCATCAAATCACTGAGAGGTGATTTCAGTCAAGGCCGTGTGAGCCTGTTAAAATTTAGATGTGGTCCCAACATGTGAATGCTGGAAAGTTTCCCCCATGTACCAAACACCTAAGGACACAAGGCACACCTGTCAGTGCCAGGTGTGGTGAGGCTGCTGGTTTCTGTGGTGGAGAGGACATGCAACTGGGACCTTTGTGTGTTACATACGGCAGAACCAAGTGTCTTCATGCTCTTTGCTCTGTGTGAGCCCCTCTCTTGACCAGACGGGGTCCTTGTCTAGCTGTTGTTACACGTAGGATTTTCATTGACTAATTTTCAGAACTTGATCGCCAGGTCCTTCTTCCTAGTGTGCCCTAGTCTGGAAGCTTCACTGAAGCCTGCCCACCATGGGTCACCCTGCTGGTACTTAAAACTCTGGTGCCATGGTGACACACAAGCCAGCAGAGTAGGACAGACAGAGAGAGGGGCCAGTTGTGCTGGACTTGCAGTTCCCTTCCACTTACATCCATGTGGGTGGTGTCGGATCGGAGAGGCCTGAGGATGGCTGGGGGCCCAGGGGCAGGAATGACACTTCCACTGTCTCTCTTTGCATTTTCAAAACCACTTCTGTCAGAACCATTTTCATCAAATGAAGGAAATCCCCAAAGCAGTTTTCTCAGCGTATAGGAGCTCAGAAATGTAGGTTAGACTTTGCATGGCATCCTAATGGAATGTAAAATGCTTGTGGTTTTGCAAGCACAGCTCTGTAAGCAGATTCTTTCCTGGGTGTCTTGTCTGTGAATTTTTGTTTAAGCTACCACATCTTAGGAGGTGTTTTTCCCCTGTGAATGTAATAAGCAATTGTTTACCCATTTGCTTGGCTCGTAAGTGTAGATGGAGAAAGGCATTAGGCTTGAGGGACTTTGGACCAATCCTGATTAAAAGAAAACCAAGGTAACATGTAAGAAGATGCGAAAGTCGCTGTCCGACATTGTATTTGGAGGCTAGCCATTCACGGCTCTTCCAAAGGCGGCTGCTATACTTCCTCCAGCTAGCTGCGCCCACTTTTGGGCAATGAAGACCTTGAATGAATGGTCAGCATCAGTTGATGTTTATTGCTGCAGGGACGCTTGTTCTGAGAGCCCTTGCTGAGCTTGCTGGGCTTTTAAAGCCCACGTGGGGGGCGTGGAGAGCTGGAGCCTCCTCAGCACTGTGTGTGCAGGAAGACGGTTTGCCCAGAGCTGATGAGGGCTGAGCTGAGCGTCAACTGGTGTTCCAGCCAGGACCTGCTGCGTCTCCTCAGCACAAGTTGTTTTTGTAAACAGTGCAGTGTATCCCAGCCAGAAACCACAAAGGTGCTGGACCGAAAGGCGGTTCCCCATTGCTGTCAGGGCCTTCCTACTTCCCGGTGCCAAACAGATGATGTCGTTTGAGAACAGCAGTGTGTGTGTGTGTGCGTGCGTGTGTGTGCGTGCGTGCGTGCTACTGCTGCTTAAGTACCTCTTTCAGTTATGTTTATGAAATGTCTAATCCAGGCCACAAGGAGCCCTGGTGCCACAGTGGTTAAGTGCTCAGCTGCTAACCCAAAAGTTAGTGATGTGCACCCACCAGACAGTCTGCTTCTGTGTAAATTTACAGCCGTTTAAGCCAGTGGCCCAGTTCTCCTCTGCCCTGCTGGGTCCTTGGGAGGCAGAATGGACTGAATAGCACATAAGACCGTGGTTCCCAAGTTTTCCAAGCAAACTGAGGTCCAGCCGGCGCCGAGTGGTGTCAGAGTGGGCTTTCTTCAAAAGACATCCAGACACGTGCAGAGGGGTCCTAACCTTGAACTGCGCTCTCCTTTCTGCCTGGTTCTGATCCTATAACTGAATTTTATTGGTAAAAACAAAAGTCCAGCCCAGTGAAGCACACAAAACAAAGGCTAACTAAAACCGAAGTGGTGAAGCACCAGTATTGGGCAATTTGTCTCACCAAGTAACCAAAGCTTCTTAGGGGAATTTGGGGTGTTTTTGCTCAACTCATTTGAAAGTAAACAAATCCATGAACTTTCTGAGTGTTTGGACTTTTGCCTAAAGCAAAGCTAAAGCAAATGGGTCCTTAAAAGGGCCTTCTGCTCAGCTTCCAGGGGAAATCAGAGGGAGGCGGGCTAAGGGGCTGGGCAGGACTGAGGGGCTGCCTGCTGCCCTGCCCACTCCATGATGGGGCGTCCCATCCCTCCACCGCCTCCACGTGCTGGGTGGAGGTTTCCCAAGTCTTTCCCTTTCTCAGTTGATTGTAGGTCCCCTGCCCACCCTATGTGATCTAGGGCCACCCCTCCGACCTTCCAACATGGGGGACCTTCCATTCCACCGCTGCTGTTTGGTCTCCACCTCTGGGCCCGGACACTGCCACCAAGCAACCATGTCCCAGTACTGTAACCCTGGGCAGCCATTGAAAAGGTGCACAGGAGTGTGGACCAACAGGAGACTGTTCCCATATTCACGATGAGGAAGCAGGTTGCAAAACAACATGACTGTTTCTGTCAGTTACCAAGGGAAGGCAGACTGGGAGGACACCCAGTGCTGGCCATGTTCTTTCCAGATGTGACATTAACCTCTGTCTCCACTGCTGTGCTATATAGAGACCATCCTCCGGGTCCTGTTGGCAGTTTAGGCGAGCTCAGGATGAGCTGCAACGTGAAAACTTTGGAGGTCACTGCCCGTGGAGCTCCAAGATTTCTGGGGGCTCTGGGAGAAGCGATGGACTCCCGGGTGATCCCAGAAGGGAAATGGCGAGAGGACAGAGCCCCTGGACAGATGCGGGCAGGCAGGGGTCCCATTCACCCCAGAGAAACATCTGACCTGTGGGCTCAGTAGATCAACTACATGGACTTACCCTCAGTCCCAATTAAAGGATTGGTCAAAGAGAAAGTGGATTTAGGCAAACCACCTGCTGACTGCCACCATCTCTGGCTCTTTACCTGCGCTAACCTCAGGAGGACAAGACTCCTGCCACCTCGCCAAGGTCCTCCTCCTCCTCTCGTCGGGGCCCCAAAATGTCAACTGTTTGTCTTTGCTAAATCACCCTGCCTCGTATGTGCAGTCTGCTGTGTGCCCCTCTGGTGACTCCCCCATTAAAGCCGGCTTTTCCCCTTCTTTTCCAGTCCCCCGAAGCCGACCGTGTTCATCTCCGGCGTGATCGCGCGGGTAAGAGCCCATCCACCCTCGGATAGGGTCTGAAGTGGAGGAGCTGGGTTGGCGCCTGTTTCATCAAACTCAAGAGCCCGCGGGCAAGCCCCCTGCTTCCACTGTTCCCACCCCTTAGACTCTAGGATTCACACCTTCATCTAACGTGGGCAGGTGACCAGCATTTCCAGGGACCTCTTGCCCTCACCTTCTCTTCTCTCAGATCTAACCCAGGGGTCAGCAAACCGTGGCCCATGTGTTTGGATATGACCTGTGTCCTAAGAATGTGCCAACATTTTTTAATGTTGTTGTTGTTGTTGTTGTTATAATATGTCACATTTGCTGTGTAAACCTTTGAGGAAAACGTTTGCTGAGCTTTTGAGTTTTGGCTTCTCTTCATCTCCAAAGAATGTTCTGGGGGCACAGTATTTAAGCACTTGACTGCTAGCTCACAGGTCAGTAGTTCCAACCCACCAACTGCTCCTCGGGAGAGAGGACTTGATGGCAGTCTGCTTCCACGAAGAGGACAGACTTGTCAAGTCTGTCCCTAGGGCCACTCAGTCAGAACTGACTTGACAGTGGATACAGAGAAGAAAAGAGTGCCCATCTCTATAGATACAGGTGCTATGCAGACTCTTCATTAAGTTTAACCAAGACTGAACATGGAGCCCTGGTAAAGTCATGGGTTACGGCTTGGAATGCTAACCATATGGTTGGCGGTTCTAATCTACCAGCTGCTCCAAGGGAGAAAGATAAGACTTTCTGCTCCCCTGGAGATTTACAGCCTCGGAAACCCTATACCGGGTTGCTCTGAGTTGGAACCGACTCCACGGTACACAACCACAGCAGAGCAAAGACAAACACGGACCACCAGGTGAGGGAGATCCTAGACACCATGATGAGAGTCAGAGCTGTCTCCTGTGCTGATGCTTTAGGGGCACAGAGGACAAAGGTGGCCGCTCCTCCCACAGCCCTGACTGATGGCAGGCAGCATACACGCCAGGCTTCTGGAAACGACCAGGGGACCACTGCAGACAGGAACCCTTACGGTCTCGGTCTCTGCAGTTATGGCGTCTTAACTAGGAGGCCACTAAGGGGTGTGTCCAGGAATGCTCCCTGGAAGTGACCCCAACCCGCTGTTACAGTTTCTAACTCGGGCAGCTCAGCTGTCAGAGGTGTAGGAGGTACTCCAGGGAATCTGGTGTCGGGGTCTGACCTCGACATAGTTGTGTTGTTCACGAGTGTTTGGTTCACGAGGAGGGGAGATCCAGCGGCGATAGGGATAGCGAAAGAATACACAGACAAACAGAAGGAGGGAGACAATGAGGCACCCCAAAGCCA